CTCATTCTCTCTCTCTCAAATAAATAAATAAAATCTTTAAAAAAAATAATAATAAAAAAAAATAAATAAAAGGCTAATCCCAGCCCCTCTGCTGACTCAGTCTCACGAGCTGACCTCTGACTCCCCTGCTGGACCCAGTGAGGCTGGAAGCTGGTCATCAGCTCACCTCCCAAGCCAAAGAGCTGCAGGGAGAGGAGGAGGATGATCACAGTTCTGTCTCAGTTTTTCTTAGGAGCAATGGCAGCTGGAGTCTGCCAAGCAGGGGCTATCTGGGAACCACATGAATTATTCTATACCTCTGCCATTCCCACATTCAGCCATACTTGGCAGAGCCTGCCTAGTCCCAAGCTTCCTATATCTGGCTGTCAAAGCCTTTCCTACCCTCCAGCCTCTACCCTCTGGATTCACACAGCACACATACACTGACCTCCCAACTCCCAAGGGCAGGATGCCCTGGTCCTTACTTACCTGTGAACTGAGGACTTAAGGCCTGAGGGTTATGGATAATATCTTTCCAAAGCAGTTCAAATTCTGGTATCCTAGCAACATTCTGAAGTAGTCTTACAAGGTCCCGGCCAATCATTAAACATTCCATGAACTTGGTGAGGGGAGGAGGGACAGGAGAGAGAATAAAAACACAGACAGTTTACCTGCTGCAGGAAGGACCAAGGAGCAGCTTGTTCTAAGGAAGGAAGGAAAGAGGGCCCAAGGGACAAGAGGGTTTCTTCTGGAACCAAAGGGGAAGAGAGCTGGAAGCTGGAGACTGACCTCAGAAGGACAGGCTACTGGAAACTACCGAAGCCCCGTTGACTTCCGCCTGAATCTCTTCCCCTCCCCTCCCATAATGGTTGTGATCCAGAGGGAGAGAGACCATTCTAAAAGGACAGGACTGGCAAGCTGAGCCCGAGATAACTTTCCCCAACCCTCCCTAGTCCAACAGAACAATCTCTGATAATGGAAATGATCTCCACCTCTATGCTGTCCAAAAGGATAACCATTAGCCACACATGTGGCTAATGAGCACTTGAAATGTGGCTAAGTCAACTAAGCAACTGAATTTTTAAGTTTTATTTAATTTTAATTAACTTTGATCTAAATTGCCACATATGGGAAGTGGCTACCACGTAGAGATCCTAGCTCTGGGATCTCTCTCGGAGACCTGACAGTGGACAAGTCACAATCCCACTTGACCACAGCCATCACCCAGGTGGGCAGGTGGGGAGGATGATATAATAGTGGCAGCTTACGTCTGTGGTGTGCAACAGCGTCTACGAAGCTGACCAGGAGAATCCCTAGGAGGCCGGTCCAACAGACAGCATTTCTAGGAGCCAGGGCTATTCTGCATGGATTCCCCACCTCCCCCCTTCCTCTGTCTCAGAATGATGAAAAAACACCAGGTCTTGAACCACCTCTTTCTCTTTAAAATGACATCTCTTGGCCTAGGTCACCTCACAAAACTCACATAGGTGTCCCATCCTGGGTTTCACTTGCCCACACTGTTTTCATCCTTACCCGTTCCCGAAGCAGGGACATGCAAAAGTCCACCTCCTTCTGCCGCAGGGCCTGGAGCTGGGCAGTCCCGTGGTGGTCGACGATGAGGCGGAGGTATGTGTAAACAGCCATGGCAATGAGGATGCTGCTCTTCAGCACCCACTCCCTGCAGAAGTTGCGGGGGGGGGGGTACCTGACACCCGGGCTCTGTCCAGGCCTGTTCACTCTCCCAATTCACTCCCACACGTGGCTCTGGGGCCTCAGCAATGGCTGGTGATTAGCACTGGGAGGAGGTTCTTTGATTCCTTGACTGCTTGCTCATTACCCATCCTGGACTATCAATTGTCTAAGGTAGTGACAATTTCCTACTGCTCCACCAGGTGCCCAATAAAGATAAGCACTGAATGAAAGCAATCTCTCTTTTCCACATAACTACTTAGCTTCCGATAAAGTAACCATTCGTTGATTCACTATTCAAACATTTACTGAGTGCCTATCATGTGCCAAGCACCATGTGAGGTACTAGGTACAGAGAATACACCATAGCTTCTCTACAGCTCAGAGAATAGGAGAAAGAGGTTCTAGAGGCAACCCTAAGTCAGCAGTTCTTACGGTGTGGAACGAGGACTGTCAGGGGTTAAGACCCTTTGGAGACCCTTTGAAGACCCTTTAGGACACACCGTGTCAGCCCTTTCATCATGCCTATCATTAGTGGCCCACTATGCTATATGTCTTTCCCTGGTTCTCTCCCTGGCCACTGCTCCCACTCCCAGACAATGAGGTACCTGCCCTAAATCACAATCTAAAAAGAATATGATTTTGGATGGAAAAGCCTATTTTCCCAGGAGTTTTAGAACTTCCATGGGGGGAAAGGGGGTAATGAAAGAACTGTGTGTTCCCTGCTGCTTCACAAAGAGTAGAAGGGGGGACGCTTGGGTGGCTCAGTAGGTTGGGCGTCTGCCTTCAGCTCCCGTCATGATCCTGGAGTTCCTGGATTGAGACCCACGTTGGGCTCCCTGCTCAGCGGGGAGTCTGTTTCTCCCTCTCTCTCTGCCCCTCACCCTGCTCATGCTCTCTCACGTGTGCGTGCGCTCCCTCTCTCTCTCAAATAAATAAAATCTTAAAAAAAACCAAAACCATTAGGGGCACCTGGGTGGCTCAGTTGTTAAGAGTCTGCCTTCAGGGCGCCTGGGTGGCTCAGTAGGTTAAGCGTCTGCCTTCAGCTCAGGTCATGATCCCAGGGTCCTGGGATCGAGTCCCACATCGGGCTCCCTGCTCTGCGGGGAGCCTGCTTCTCC